TTGCGGCGCATATCGAAGGAGCGGCCTATCCCGCCTCCAGTCTTCTTGACTATGTATTGACACCGGGCAATGCACTCAGACGAAGCATGCATAAGCAGGTATATCCATTTAGATGTCAACTACAAATCTGTTAAGATCAAAGGGAGGCAAAAACAGTCCCCATTGACTGCATGATTAAATGCGGGTGAAAACTATTCCCCGCTCAACCTGACCGCATAATTAAATGCAGATGACGATTATCTTCCTACATTATAACCCAACGTAGAAGCTTGTCTTAGTCATCCTTTTGCGTTAACTGTTTGCTCACAACTCTCATTTGCCTGACGACTCAGAAAATTCGCACAATACAGAAAGTTGGAGTGGAGGAAAAAAGAGAGCTGTGTGCGGCTACCAGAGCCTTCTGAACAACTCTTCCCTCAGTCGTAAAACCTAAGCCAATCGACCGGCATTACGCATGCTTGCTCGCCCTCTTCGACTGAGCCGATTATCACCAAGAATCCAGCTAAAATAGCCACAATACACCGATAACAACGGGATATACAACGAACAAGATAGGGAAGCACAAAGACGGGAAGGGGAGAACCAACCTGGATGCCCTCTTGGGAACACAAATAAAAGTCAAATTCCCTGGGGTGCGTCACCTCTTTGTCGATCACAGTCCCAGGATCTATATTACGGGCCCTAGAAGGCAGAAATAAAGTGCATAGAAGGCACAAAAATTGCAATGCATTACCTAGGATCACTCGGCTTAAAGCGTAAATGATGCCGCTTTTGAACAACAATGAATGTGATCGCCGGCTCGTAGTCCTGCCTGAGGCGTCGGCAGGCACGTTGAATTGCACGCAGTTCTTCGTGTAAAACCGTTTGAAATTGGCCCTCCGAAACTCCGTCTCGGTAGAACATAATTTTTGCTGGAAGTCGATCGTTGTTTTTACTACCAAAAGCCTACAGCCAACGCGGGGGGGGGGAGGAGGGGAAGAAAAAAAACCCGGAGATTAGGAGATGAAAACCCCTAGTGAAAAGTATAGATTAGCATGCGCACGAACGCGCGAATAGAAGACTACAGGTGACTGCATAGGGCACAGCTTAAACAAAACAAGGATCAAAGTCGAGTAAATGGGGTCGGGTCCGACCGAACAGGGCCGCTTTTTGCCAAAAGCACCTGTCACGCGTATCGCGATCACTCAGCCGCCAGACTGACGTCTATATCTGTCTACAGTTTGTCAGATTAGAACCTGGAAACGCTCACAGTGGGCAGCCAAGAAACTGAACAGGTAGAATTTGCGTGGATTCTAACACAGGCGGAAAGTTGTATTTTTTAAGTATTCACTTCAATTTTGACGCCGTTGGAGTTGTGGACAGAAGAGATGAGCATGCAGCAAGGCAGGCGCCAGAAGAGTCAGCCACTAGTCTAGCAACAGCCACCAAAACCCGCCTCCTT